TTATTAAGTTATTAAGTTCAGAGCTGGCAGCCTCTTCTCCCTCCCTGCTCCTAATCAATATACCACCCACTGTCCCTCCTCAGAGTCTGGTCTCTCTAACTTTATCTCCCAGTCCTTCAACCTGTGCTGTACATCTGATGATCTTATTCCTAATCTTCATTCTTGTCTCTCCCAAGGAGAACCTCAACATCTTTAGCTCTGGCACTACCAGTTCTGCCTCGTGTATTTTTGTCCATGTTTCTGTTTCCAAACCATAATTGGTCTCACTACTCTGTTGTAAATCACTCCTTCACCGTTGACCTGACTTTTCTTTATCTCTTTACTGCACTGCTTGTTTTCCTGGACAGTAGACCCTAAATCCTTGAAGTCCTGGATCTTTGGACCTCTGCTTCTTGTAGCCTCACTGTTCCATGCCCTCCTCTCATTCACACACGTGGACTCTCAATTTCATTCCTCTTCTTTCATGTTCATATACCTCCACCTTTCCCAGTTCTCATCATTCAGATGTCTTTTTCATAGAAGGTCTCATATTTCAGCCAGACGTTTCTGAGCAGCCTCCATTACAACAGCATGGCTTCATAGTAGAAGAATCCTTGATCTGAATTGACCTGCCTGCAGTCCAGACCTCTGACCATATAAAAACATTTGGTGCGTCATAAAACAAATTCACTCACTTTTATGTCTGGTTGGTGATTTATTACTATTTCTGTATAGAAAAGATTATTTAATGAAGTTTTGTTCTAAAATAAAAACTTGACACCCACCAGAACAGTTTGTGTTTTTATTTTTTAAATTCAATAATTATCAGACTTCAAATTTACAGCTGTAATCAGAAAAAACACAAACTTCTGAACCAGAACGACTGTAAAACTCAAGTGTCAAAAAAACTATTTGGTCTCCAGTTTGATTTTAAATTGGAAGGTGAACGTTTGAGAGAAAACTGAAAATAAAAAGAATTTGATGAAATTATGTGTTTTAAATAAAAAAAATAAATGAATAAATGTGGAGAAAAGAAATAAATCCAGCTCTGAACTGAACTGTTGACTTGTTTCTTCAAACTTGTTAATGAAGCTTCATGAAAGGATACATTTGGATGATTCATTGACAGGACAAATGATCAGAGGACGTGAGTTTTTACCTCTGTCATTATGACCAGGACTGAAGTACAGGTAGAGTTCTTCAGTGAAGCAGCAGCCAGTAAAAGAGTAGATCAGAACTGCAGCATCAACATCATAAAAGGAGACCAGACCCCCCTGATAATCTACAAACACCCCCACCTTCCCAGGACCAGACTGAGGACTGAGACAGACTGGAGGATCATCAAAAGCTGTGTATTTGTTTTTATTTCTTAACCAAATGGTCCAGAAACCATCCCCAGGACTCGGTATGAAATTTTGTTTCCGCTTGATGGACTTTCTGGCCACTCCTAACTCCCACCTAGTTTTTCCTTTAACCTGAACTTGAAAATAAAATTTGCCTGAAGAGAAACTCCGAGTCCCTAAAACAGAAACACATTTGGTAAATCTCTCTGGGTTGTCTGGAAGCTTCTTCCACACATCACCACAGTGAACTTGTTTTCCATCATCAGACAAGATGAGTGTAGGATGAGCAGTTTCAGGATCCAGAGTCAGATCCACCTCAAACCTCTGGACCCTCTTTAGCTCAGACTCAAACATCATTTTCATTTTCTTCCTGAGGTCCTGTTGCAGCTGAGCCACAGCTCTCACCACAGTCCCCTCATATGATGGAGGATCAACTTGGACCATGGTCCAGTTCTTGGTGGGTGGAACAGGTTTCAGGGATCTGAAGCTCTGGAGGAGGTGGAGGTGGTCTTCAGAGCGTGAGAGCTGCTTCACCTCAGAGCTCCTCTTCATCAGCTCAGAGATCTCCTGTTCCAGGTCTTTGATGAAGTCTTCAGCCTGTTTCTCTGTAGTTTTCTGTTTGTCTTCCACCTCCTTCATGAAGCTCTTCTTGCTCCTCTCAACAGAGTCCATCAGATCAGTGAAGACCCGAAGACCTTCTGCTTTTACTCTGTCTGCAGCAGCTTTACTGATCTTCAGCGACTCTTTGATTTCCTGGATCTTCAGCCATCTGTTCTGGATCATCTGCTGAACTTCAGCCTCTGTCTTCCTCAGCTCTGCCTTCTTTCCTTCACATTCTTCTCTCAGAGGACCAAACTCATGAGTCTTGTGGTCCAGAACTGGGCACAGCGAACAGACACAGGTCTGGTCGGTCTTACAGAACAGCTCCAGAGGTTTATCGTGCTTCAAACATATCCTGTCCTCCAGGTTCACTATGGGATCCAGCAGCTGGTGCCTTTTTAGATGTGACGCTGTCAGATGAGGCTTCAGGTGAGTCTGACAGTAGGAGGCCAGACACACCATGCAGGACTTCATGGCCTTTAGTTTGGTTCCAGTGCAGACATCACAGGGAACTTCTCCTGGCTCTGCAGCTTGTTGAGCTTCATGCCTGAACTGGGCAACCATCTCTTGAATGAAGGTGTTGACTCTGAGCTGAGGCCTGGAGGAGAACCGTTCTTTACACAGAGGACAGTTGTATAAATCATTACCATCCCAGTATTGGGTGATGCAAGTTTTACAGAAGTTGTGTCCACATGGTGGGGTGACCGGATCCGTGAACAGGTCCAGACAGATGGAGCACAGGAACTGATCCTCACACCACAGACCAGCAGACATTTCTGAACTCTAGAATCAACAACAGGTTCAGAAGTTATTAAAATTTCACTTCATCTAAATCCTAAAGGTTAACTGTCTGACTGCTGAGTCAGACTCTTGTTTTACTGCTTTTATTTTTATTGGCATCAAGTTACATCTGCAGACTTTGTGATATTTTAGCTATTTATAAATCCGCTGAAACAGCACAAAGTTCAGCTCATTCAGGAGACGCTTGCTACGAATTGTAGTTTTTGTAACATTTATACATTTCAAAACTACTTACCGGTAAATATATTTACAACTGTCCTGATGCATCTCAGTAACCCAGGTAGAAAAATTCTAAAAAAACATTAATAGGCTCTCTGGACGTGTTCCTTTTTAATGAAACCTTTTGTCTCTCCTCAGATACTTTTTCATTTTGAGGAGTTTCAGGTAAACTCAGCCTTATAAACACTAAGGTAGTTCTTTTCTTTTTTTCTTTTATTGCTTTAAACTAAAATGCAAACTATCTCTTCCTCCTGATCCGTGACATCATGACTGAAATTGCAAGAAATTAAAGAATTCATCAGGCGGTCAGTACGCTCGAGTACGAACTCTCAACCGTCCGCGGACAAAAACGCGCGGAGTCCGCAAGGCTCATGGAATGCGCACAATACGCCCGAGTATGGGAGCCTTTAGGCTGATGTCCTCCTTTGCATGTGAACAGACAGTGTTATGTTCATTGTTAAGCCTGCTTGTCCACAATGTGAAGGCAGTGCTCCTAAGGCTGACATCCTGATGCATCTCAGTAATCCAGGTAGAAAAATCAAAAAGAAAAAATAAGTAGGTCCTCTGTCCTGGGCTGAGTTTATCGTAAACTCCTCAGACTCTTTGAGTAGAGACAAAACATTTCATTAAAGTGTAACTTACCCCCACCCCTGTGAAAGGATAACTCCGCCCCAAGTCAAAATTTAAAAWATGCACAGTGGACATTACAGGAGAGAGGAGGGGGGCTGTGGGGGAGGAGGTGTGGTCAGGACGAGAGAACGTGACAGCTAGCTTATTTTGACAAGCTAACATTTCTGATCGTTCTAAACAAATTAATGTTTTGTAAAAAGTAAAGTTTCATGACATACAATGATTCATGACATATTTCATGTAAAATGATCAAGTCAGCTCAGTCTGGGACTGACTCGTGTTGTCTCCCTGGATCAGGACACGGCACGCTTTGCTGCAGCCTCGGCTGAGCTCTGTCTGCCTCACACCACACCAGCCCCGGACAGCAGAGCTGCAGCGCTCCGACAGCCTGACAGAAAAAAATAAAAGCATACAGCTGCAGCTGCTCATAAGATAACTATTTTAGATCGGAAATAGAAGTGTTGGGTTTTGTTTGACTGAAGTTCGGGTCCGGTTCGAGCTGTTTTGCATTTCACAGTGACGAGCTGATCGCGAATCATGCAGCTGCTGCGCCAGCCACGCTCTCTGCCTTTTTTTCCCTCCTCCCGTGTGTGTTCTACACACAGGTTCTTGTTTACCTGTTTCTGCAGGACGTACAGCGGGCTTGTGTGTGTGTGTGTCTGCGTGTGTGTGTGTGTGTGTGTGTGTGTGTGAGCAGCGCAGCAATCAGCCCCCTCCTCCTCTCCCCACCTGAGGCTGAGGGCGGCTGAAGGAGAGTCAACAGACCAGACGATCACGCTAAGCTTGCTAACTGTTCCACCCTCTGACTGCTGCAGGGGCGTGTCTTAGAGAGAGGCTTTTATACCAGAACACAGCCGCTGTGATGAAACTGTGGAGAAGACACGTCACCGTGGAGAGCCTTTAACCAATATGTAAATTAGCCTGCAGTACCACTGCTCTACCCATATGAGCAGCAAAAACATGTTTTTGACCAAATATTACAGGTTTGAACAAATACGCACAAAAACATCAAAATTAGCACAGAAACAGTACTATATAACATTTTAGACACATTTTAGACAGTTTATCAGCTAAAAAAAGTTAATWTTGGGGTAAGTTACTCTTTAAAGAACCTGTCCAGTGGACCTACTTATTTTTTTATTCCAAAATTTTTCCTCAAAAATTCGTTTAGATCTAATAATTAAAAAAAGTTCCACAAAATATGCTACTGTTGGCTTTTAGCTCATGTTTTTCTCCTTTTAGCTTTAACACATCAGCTTTTTCATCATATTTCAGTCCTTCAGCCCTTAGTGTGAGTTGACTTGATGAGTGTCAGCAGGAAGAGAAAAGAGAAACTTCGTTTCACTGAAGCTCTGATTTTTGTGTTAAAGCTGCTTGTTGAAACTAAACAAGAATCATCTGAACTCACCTGGATTAGATGTTAAGAAACTTCTTTTTCTTCAGATAAAAATTCAGATGTTTGTTTCAGCAGCAGCTCTTCTCCGACACACAAACACTTTAACTTTCGTTTTCTAAAATTAACATTAGAACTTGTTTTTTTCAGCTCTGCTCCTCCTCCTGTCGTCATGCTGTTCAGACTGGATCATATAACGCCCATCTGACTCATGTTTAAAATATCCCGAGATCTTTGAGTATGGAGATAAATTAGTCTCAACAATAACAACAACCAACAACAAAAACCAGTATGGTGTTGTTTAGATGTACTCAACGTTTGTTGTGGCAGAAGTGTTTTACATCGGATACCGTTCCTGACCCAACCATCACCATTTACCTGGGCTTTGGACCAGTACAAGAAAGACACTGGCCTATGTTCCCTGGTGGCTTGTTTAAATTTTGAATAGTGACTAAAATCTCATGATTCCATTCATTGTGGATGAACAAATACACTCCTCACAAACGTGTAGATTTTATTACAATGTTGTTGGAAATCATATGATCAAAAGTTATTTTTGCAGTTTTTGATGCTTTTGTAGGATCTATATCTTGGTATTTAAATCCTCAATTATTCACTGAATTGTTTAATTCAACAATTTAATCTAATACATCAGTAACCTGTGACTCAGTGTTCTGACCCTTGTTCTCTCATTAAAAAAAAGAAACTTTACAGCTGTTTGCTCACATCATTCAACCGGAAGAGAGACTTTAATTAGTCCAACAACAAAAATTAAAATATGTTCAGTGAGCAGATTTAATGTCACGTAGAGAACAGAGCCATTACAGCAGTGGTTCCCAAACTTTTTATCTTCTGACCCACAAAATATTCATGGCAAAAAATTGTGACCCCAAATATTACTGGTCTGAGTACACGAACTTNCCCCAAATATTACTGGTCTGAGTACACGAACTTTGTTAATAACCCTAAAAACAAAGGCTACACAAATATAAATACTTATTTATAGTTATTTTGTGTTTTTGTAATAATTATAGGGAAAATATTACATCACCAAGTATTTTAATACCCTTTAAATTGATTTCTGAAGTGCAGTGGTTCCCAAACTTTTCAGCTTTTGACCCACAAAATAACAGTAGCAGAGACCTGTGCCCGCAAGTATTTTTGGATGATAAACATTTATATCTGGTCAACTTTTATTATTTATTATTCTACATTTATACATTTTAGGCAACTAAGGCAAAAATGTAATTAATTTAGAAAATATTTTCAGGACCCCACCTTGATGTTTCAGGACCCCACTTTGGGTCCTGACCCCAACTTTGGGAACCACTGCATTACAGGATACTTAGGTTTAAAATAAAAACAGCACATCCTGACCAGGAGCTATATAAAGTGACTGAAGTTAAAGCACGATGACCACTGCCCCAAACATGATGGCAGCACAGGAACCAAAATAAAACTGTTGGAACAGTGAAGCTGGCCATCTGTTGATGCAAAAAATGTACAACAAATCTACCCTCCAACCCTTTTGTAATTTCTTCTTATCGTTTCTGAGTTGTAGCTTTAAAGGAAAATGAAAATTAAATTCAAATTCATTGTCATCGTAATATGAGTTAGCTCAAATTAGTATTACAAATCAAACATAATTATATTTCAAGTAGCATGCATTCATTTCTAGCTGCTAATTATTGAATCAGTGGAACAGACTGATCTTAATGGTCACATATGATTTAGATCATGATGATGACAGAGGAGAACGTGAAAAAAATGAGTTGATTGCAGTTATTAATGTCACTGTAATATATTATTGCACGTTGACGGTTCTTATAATATCATGCAGCCTTATTGGGAATAGCTGAACTATTGAATTACAAAGATGCAAACATTTAAAAAACAAGTCCTACTTTTGTACTGTATATTGGTGAAACAAATTTTCAATGTTACTTGAGTGATAACTCATATCTTGAATATATTTGTACACTGGGGTGATTTCATGTGTAATGATATGTTTTCTTGGTTCTCTGCTTTCAGAGGCTGGAGGATCCAGTGGAGCATCGTACCTGAAGTGTCTGAGACACTGGTGAGAAATCTCACTCAGCTCCCATCATCATCACAAATAGTTATTTTTTCTCTTTAACTTGAAAACCCTCAACATGAACTTGGACAAACCAATACGAACCTTATAGTTTTCTAGAACAGTTTAATCACTGATTTTACAGTAAAACTTTGTAGCAGATAAAAATTTATCGTCTCTGTTTTCCAGGAGCCTCCAAAAGAAGACCTGACGGTGTCGGAGAAGTTCCAGCTGGTCCTAGACGTTGCTCAGAGGGCTCAGGTGAGAGACGATCAACAATCAGACGACAGAAGTTGGATCTGATGCCTCTTTTTACGTTGTGTTTTTTTTATTTGTTACGTTTATGCAGAATCTGTTTGGAAAGATGGCCAACGTTCTTGAGAAAATCAAAAAGTAAGATCGTCTGCATTTATTTTATTTCATATGACAGCAGTGATAGTTATAGTAGGAGATGCACAGAGAGATGTAAAACTGTTATTTTGTGTGTGTGCGTGCGTGCGCACAGTCTGTTCATGTGGGTCAAGCCTGAGCTGACTCAGAAGCTGTACGTTGGACTGTGGGTGGCCTTCATCTCCTCCTGCCTGCTGCCCTATCAGCTGCTGGGCTTCTTCATAGGTACGTTATAACAAATGGGCTTAATTCAGGGGGGTTGGGGTGGGGTGGGGGGCAGGTTTTGGAGGTTTCTTTGCGCCAATGTTTAAATTAGGGATGCACAATATACAGCTGGTAAAATAAGTATTGAACACGTCACCATTTTTCTCAGTAAATATATTACTAGAGGTCCTAATGACATGAAATTTTCACCAGATGTTGGTAACAACCCAAGTGATCCATACATACAAAGAAATCAAACCATAAATGTCCAGAAATGAAGTTATTTGTAATAATGTGGAATGGCACAGGGAAAAAGTATTGAACACACTTACTGAAATTTATCTAATACTTTGTACAAAAGCCTTTGTTGTCAATGACAGCTTCAAGACGCCTCCTGTATGGAGAAACTAGTGGCATGCATTGCTCAGGTGTGATTTTGGCCCATTCTTCCACAAACAGTCTTCAAATCTTGAAGGTTTCGTGGACCTCTTCTATGAACTCTGATCTTTAGTTCTTTCCATAGATTTTCTGTTGGATTCAGGTCAGGTGATTGGCTGGGCCATTCCAGCAGCTTTAGTTTCTTTCTCTGAAACCAACTGAGAGTTTCCTTGGCTTTGTGTTTGGGCTCATTGTCTTGCTGAAATGTCCAGCCACGTTTCATCTTCATCATCCTGGTAGATGGAAGCAGATTTTTATCAAGAATGTCTCTGTACATTTTTCCACTCATCCTTCCTTCAATTATTTGAAGTTTGCCAGTACCATACGCTGAAAAACAGCCCCACACCATGATGTTCCCACCTCCAAACTTCACTGTTGGTATGGTGTTTTTGGGCTGATGTGCAGTGCCATTTGACCTCCAAACATGATGTGTATTCTGGCATCCAAACAGTTCAATGTTGGTCTCATCTGACCAGACTATATTCTCCCAGTATTACACAGGCTTGTCTAAACGTTGTGCAGCAAACTTTAAAGGAGCTTCAACATGCTGTTTCTTCAGCAGTGGAGTCTTGTGTGGTGAGCGTGCATACAGGCCATGGTGGTTCAGTGCATTACTTATTGTTTTCTTTGAAACAAACGTACCTGCTAATTCCAGGTCTTTCTGAAGCTCTCCACAAGTGGTCCTTGGCTCTTGGACAACTCTTCTGATAATTCTTTTCACTCCTCTGTCAGAAATCATGTGAGGAGCACCTGGTCGTGGTCGGTTTATGGTGAAATAATGTTCTTTCCACTTCTGAATTATGGCCCCAACAGTGCTCAATGGAACCTTCAGAAGTTTAGACATTCTTCTGTAACCGATGCCATCATTATGCTTTGCAACAATAAGGTTGTGAAGGTCTTGAGAGAGCTCTTTACTTTTACCCATCATCAGATGGTTCTTGTGTGATACCTGGCCATCATTTGGGACTGAACCAGCTGATATTAACTTGCACTGACAAGGGGCAGGCTTGCTTTCTAATTACTGAGAGAGTTCAGCTGGTGTCTTGGCTTTCCATGCCTTTTTACACCTCCCTTTCTTCATGTGTTCAATACTTTTTCCCTGTGCCATTCCACATTATTACAAATAACTTCATTTCTGGACATTTATGGTTTGATTTCTTTGTATGTATGGATCACTTGGGTTGTTACCGACATCTGGTGAAAATCTCATGTCATTAGCACCTCTAGTAATATATTTACTGAGAAAAATGGTGACGTGTTCAATATTTGTTTTACCCGCTGTACATGTATTAATATCAGTATCAGCCAATATTGGTCATTTTTTAGAATATCGGTATCGGTCCTTTAAGTAAAACTGGGCCAATACTAAGGTCCGATATTGATTACCCACCTTTTTATTTTAGTGTTTCTGTTCTGGGAGGGGAGATGGTTTGTTGAGCAGCTTCAGTTTGATCATGATAGTGATATTGATGCTGTACATTCAGGGAATAACTAAAGTAGAGCCACATCTGAGATCTGGTTGTTTATTTACAGTATCAAAAAAAAAAGACCCAAGTGTGTTTGTGCGTATATGTATAATACAATTTGTGTGTTTGTGTAATATCGGTAAATATCGGTTATCGGCCGTAACAGCAATAATTATATCAGATATCGGCTTCACATCTGTACATCCCTAGTTTAATTGAACGAATGATTAACAGGCTTCTGCAGAACTTGAATCAGGTGTGTTGGAGCAGAGTCTGGTTTAGTGGATGTTGTTTTGTGCAGCACTTCCTTTATAAAAAAAAATATTGTATTTGTTTATAAATTAATAACATTTAATTTTTGAGACTCTGCCATGTGTAATTTAAGGACTAAACAGAACTTTCATAAAATGTTGCCTCCAGATTTCCAGGCTGAATAAGATAAGATAAGATAAGATAAGATAAGATAAGATAAGATAAGATAAAACTGTATTGATCCCACAGTGGGGAAATTTGCACATTATTGCAGCTTAATACAGGAGTGGGTGAGATAGAATAAAGAAAGATAAAAGAAAAACACTATACTTGTGATATAAAACAATGTACATATACCTAGTACAGTAAATAAATATATGTACAGTATATGAAGGTACATATTAGTGATGGTAATAAAAACCAAACTTAAACCTCAAGCTGAACCCGATCCAACAGAGTCCAGACCTCCCACCTGTTATTAACATTTGATACATCGTGGGACAAAAATGTGTTGAAGAAGACCCCGAACTGTTGAGCAGCTCGAATCCTTCATCAAACAAGAATTTATTTTCACTTCCCCGTTGGACATGTTGTAATAACGTCTCACATGTCAGAGTGTTTCTCTGCAGGAGAGACTTGGTGATGATGAGTTTGTCTTCCTCCTCAGGCGTGTACGCTGGGATCAAGTTCTTCATCATCGACTTCATCTTTAAGAGCTGTCCCAAGCTGAGGCGGCGCTACGACACGCCTTACATCATCTGGACCAACCTACCCACGGACCTGCAGCTGAAGGAGCGCAGCAACCCCACGCTGAGCAGACGGGTCAGTCCAGTCTCACACATCCTGCTGTTCCTGTGTGCCGGACTGAGTTCTGACACACCCCGGGTCAGCAGGGTCACTTCTCTGAGCTGCTTTTATTTTTCTCTCTCAGCTGTCTGAGTATGAGCAGGTAGGGTCTGCTGCGTGTGTGTTGGGTTTACAGAGTGTAGAGGTTTGTGTTGTAGATCCACACATAGACATGATCAGTGGTGGGCAGCATTAATCCACAAATTAGCTCTGCAATTTCTAAAGCGCTTATACCATAGAAAAACTAGCGGAAGCTAATTTTAAAGTGCAAGTTCAATTAGACCCTTACTAGTTGACAATAATTCATGTACAATATATGCACAATACTGCCAACTAGCGGTGTATGAACTCTTTTACAGCTTAATTCTACAACCGCCGATCTCTGGGGATGTGATTTCATGAAACAGACCTTTGGCTCCTAGTGTAAAAATTAAAAAGTTGTTGAGGATTGCTAGTTCGGCTGCTTCTTTGTTCTTTTTCTTTTGGTTGTTGAAGATTTTTCATTAAAGAAGCATCGAAAAAGTAATTTTAAAACTGTTTTTTGGAAAACAGAAGTGATGCATTCTGGGTACATGACGAATTTGATTTGTGATGGGAAACGAAAGCACAGAGTACAGAAAACTATCTTTACTTCAAAATAAGAGCTTGGATTTTAAAGTTTTCCATGTAGTTGCTCCAGTTGACCACTAGATGTCTGTCTTCACCAGCATAACATCTTTAAATCATTTCTGAGTCTCTAACCCCGGTGGGCGATTGCTTCGACCAATTACGTCAAGTATTGAGCTCCACCATTTAAACTTTTTTTTTAAAAAGGGAGCTCCGATTGTAAAGTAAAATAAATCAATACATACAAAATTTTAGTGTGGTTTACAAACTTTTAAGTGTTTTTGCAGGTACAGGGAGTGCTAACCATTGCCTTCCTGCTACGCAAGCAGACACAAAGCATTGTGGGAAAGGAGAACCGTGACCGAAAGCAACAGTCAGGAAGGATGTACACCTTCACAATAAGTGTGTTTATCTGGGAGGGGTGCTGTTGGACAGATCACGTGATTCATTGACAGCCATACCTTCCACTGTTCAAGATAATGATGACTGGTAGATAATTAGTTATTAGCGGTACTGCATTTTAGTTTTAGAAAGCACAAATCCGCTCATGAATTATGAAAATTTGTAAGACCGCTAAAGTGCAAACAAAATATTTAGGTCCGCAATTAGCAGATTTGTGCTTTAGCAGGCTGGTGCCCACCACTGAACATGAAAGAGCCTTTCTGTTTTAACCAGTATCTCAGTGGGCTGCAGCTGTTTGTAACAAATTGAACGATAAGCTCTGCAGCCTCAGATGTTGTCAGGAGTCAACATTCAGCTGGAGTTCTCTGGAACCACAGAAACGTGTTGGAACAGGTTCACAATTCAGAAGAGCAGAGAAAGAAAACGAATGTTGGCGTCTGATTAAACTGAACTCTGTGCACCAACTGCTGCAGCTCAGTGGAACTGGTTTAGCCTGACAGTAATGAAAGTGGCTCCGTGGAAAAGTCATAGGCTGAGCTAAGAAACTGTAAAACTGTTTAGTCTGTGTGCTCCATCCCTGCAGTAGTTAATAGTAGGTTCAGTAAGTCAGCACTGCTACTCCTTCCTGCCAGTTAATATTTGCAGCAAAGTGGAAATGGTACGTTTAGGTGCTGCAGCATATTTAGGTTTTTTAATGTGAATTTTGTTTTATTGCTTTTTACATTTAAAATAGGAGTATTTTGGTTCACTTGTTTTTTTCTTTAATGTAACTATTTGAGCAGGTAGGTCTTATTATTATGTACATCAGGGACCAGCTGCTTGTGCTTCGTAGCCCACCTGTTCTCCATGAAGTGATGAGGAAGAGGCTGGAGACCTGCATCTTTGTGCCAGGAGGAGGAGCTATAGATCTGTTACCCTGTTATCATGGGAAACAGAAGATCTCTTCACAGCGAGACAGAGGAGCTGATGCTGCTCACCCTGCGGCAGAGGGAGGAGCAGAAGTACAGACTGATTTAAAAGATCTAGCTGACAATGCTAACTCTAGATAAGTGCAATGATAGAGGACTTTTATTTGGTTTGAAGGAGTGTGGGAAGAAGAGAGGTGGGGGTCTGGCTGTGTTTGTGGACACTGAGCTGTTAGAATGTTATCACAGTGTTGTTGAGAACGTGTCCTCCATCTCAAGACCCTTCTCCTTCACACAATATTTCACACAGAGACAAGAAGACTTGGTTTGGCTTTATAGAACTTTATGAAGATTTATAAAGTTTAGAACTCAGAACAGAAGGTCCAGTTGTTTGTTTTTTTAAATTTCTTTTTATTATGAGGATGACAGAATCTTCAACAACATTATAAATATAAAATTTGGCAGAAAAGTGGCACAGTTGATAGAGCTGTTGTTTCTCAGGATAAGCGTTGCTGGATCAAATCCCAACCTGGGACCTTTCTGGGTGGTGTTTACAAGTTCTCCCTCTGCATGGATTTTTCTCCAGTTTCCTCTCACAGACCAAAGACATGCCTTTAGCTTCACTGGTGCACACTGTAGGTCTCAAACAAATGCTTGCTCTGTAAATGTAATTATTTTGAACATAATCATCTTTAAGTCGGACGAACTTAAACTCAGTAGTAGAAAGTGAAACAGTTTGTCAGGAACTCCCGGGCCACGTTTTCTCCCCAGTCTGCCACTGGTTTATTGTATCCCAACACTAAGGAGGCAAACACATACTGTGTCTCAATCCATAGGTCCTCATGAGGATCCGGCCCCTGAATTGAGACACAAGCTGTGTTTCCATTGACCATGAAAATGCGCAAATTAGAATTTYGAAAATAAATTTGCTCAATGGAAACACGTCAATTTCGAAAAAAATTACGTTTTTCGACCAAACGTTTTTGCGCTAGGATGAGGTGGTTTTTCTGCCGTATCGAAATTGGTGTTTTTCGCCAAACTGCAATGGAAACACTTTTTTTCGCATCACGGGAGTCACGTGATCAACAACCTGTTTCTACTGGCGAAAAAGACAATGACGAAGAAGTTAACAGGAAGTACAAGTAGTAGTAATATCACAGAAGTAGTATAAAATAGTAAACTCACCGACTATAATTTCCCAAAAACACAGCATACGTAGCCGCTCCCAAGTAGGGGCTTGTCTCTGGAAAGCCTGGATAAAAGACGCCGACGTCTCCTCTGATGATGAGCGCTAGTGTCGTGTTAGCAACATGCTATGTGTTTACATCCATCGCCGCCATGTTTGTAGTAACTTATCGTGAGAACAAACATATTCACGCGTGACTTTAATAGCCTTTCTTACTTAATGGAAACACCACAGTTGCGAAACTGTGTTTTTCGACATTAACAGAATATCGACAAAATTTTTGCGCACATTTGCAGTGGAAACGCAGCTACAGTCACTTTATCACCTCTCCCTCCTCTGGGGGGCTCTGAAGGTCATCTTCAAGAAGAGCTCTGCTCTCTGTGTTCCTGACTGCATCATGGAGCAGATAAACCTCAGTGTGAAGAACCCTGAATCCATCAGGACTGTTCAGTGAATCAACCCTGAAGGCTGATTCATGCTCTGCAAGACATGGAGCAGTTTCTGTTCTTTCACCTCCTGTACATGTGTTAACTGTGTTCACACGCACACGTCTTCAGGTTCACACGTCCGGGGTTCGAAGTAACGTCTCGGCAGCAGCTCCTCTGGGTGCCGGCCGAGACGAGGACGGAGGACGGCACTACAGCACCAGGAGAGGACCTTTCCACGAGGTCTTCAGCCTGCCGGAGAGCGAGCGGCCTCTGCCAGGTGAGGGGCGGAGCTTAACTCGGTTCAGGTGGGCTCACCTTTCAGTTCGAGTCACTTTCTAAATCAGTTCTGTGTTGTTTCAGTTTGTGAGAACGGCTGGCGCTGCTGTCTGATCAACAGAGACAGGAAGACACCGACGGACTACATCCGCAACGGAGTCCTTTACGTGACGGAGAAGTGAGCAGCTGCAGTCGCTCTGAATCAGTCCCAGCTTTACTTAAATATCACTTTAAACTCTTTGTGAGGGAGCTGGTTTGAGAATCCTCTATAAAATGTCATATTTTTTTATTTTTCATTAACAAGTTTACATTTTTCTCAAACTAATAAATGTTTATCTGCACAAAGTTTTACTGTAAAATCAGTGCTTAAACTGTTTCAAACAATCCCCCAGAGGTCAGAGCAGAAAGGATTAGGATCATATCGAGTCTTCTTTCATTTTCAGTAACCTTTGTTTCGAGAGCTCCAGCTCCAGGTCTGGATCAACAAAAAGAAATAAAGTCATCAAACTGCTGGACATCACTGAAATTCAGAAGGTGAGTGTGCAGAGAGAGGGCTGCTGCTGCTGGTCCTCGTCCTCGTCTTGACCCTGTTATTTATTCTTCTTCTTCTTCTTCTTCTTCTTCCTTCTTATCTTCCTTGTTCTTGTTCTTGTTCTTCTTCCTTCTTATCCTCCTCCTCCTCCTCCTCCTTCTTCTTGTTCTTGTTCTTCTTCTTCTTCTTCTTCTTCTTCTTCTTCTTCTTCTTCTTCTTCTCGTTCTTCTTGTTCTTCTTGTTCTTGTTCTTCTTGTTCTTCTTGTTCTTGTTCTTCTTGTTCTTCTTCTCGTTCTTCTTGTTCTTCTTGTTCTTGTTCTTCTTGTTCTTCTTCTTCTTCTTCTTGTTCTTCTTCTTCTTCTTCTTGTTCTTCTTCTCGTTCTTCTTGTTCTTCTTGTTCTT